ATCTTTAAATGGATATGAGAATATTTGTATCTCTTACCCCAAAGAGTGGTTGTGAGAAAAGTGTTTCGTAAAACTGTTAGATGTTTTATAAATATAAGTTGTTACAATTATTCTTTCTCTGGAAGTCCTGCTTGTGATTTTTTCTTCTCTTTTGTCTAACCAGTTTTCAGATATATCTTAAAAATAAATTTCATAGTGTGATGAAGCATATTTTAAAAATTATGGATTTTCATTTTTGACATTTATGTCTCAACATTAAAATTATTTTTAACTATGTGGTAAACCTAAAATATGACTTACCAGCTTGTATTGATTTATGTTCACTATGCTGACCAGAGTCTAACTTAATGCGCAAAAAATGTTTTCTTTAATTAGAAACGGGAAGGGCCCATTTGACCTGTTTTATCCGGAAAATCTGTTGTTGGGTATACTTGTAAAAACTTACAGAATTCGCTTTTTCAGATATCCAAGCCTGCTTTCTGTCTCTTCCTTGAGTTCTCATATATGTCACCTTTCTTTATTTTTAAAAAATTACTTTTATTAATCAATTTTTAGCATTCTGAATTCCAAATTATCTCCTTCCTTCTTGCCCATCCCCCTGCCCATTGAGAAAGCAAGTGATAGGATATCAATTATATATGATACATGTCACTTTTCAAGATTTGGGGCTTTGTCTTTCAGATGTGATTAAATGTTCCCCTCACCCCCAATTTGCCCCCTTTCAAGAAGTCTTCTTACAAGTTGTCTTTCTCATTCAAGTATTTAAGTTGTCTAATACTGGTGAAACTTGTGCTTAATGCCAGTTCATAGAATTGTGGACATTGAGGTGAACACCAAACGTGTCCTTAAGCCCTTCTCCACTCCTGACCTATTAGAGTCCACTTAATTCTGTCCCAGATTCGGCTCCTTTATGTGTGTAACCAAACCAAAAAAGCCGTCGTATTCACTGACGCTTTGGGATCCGTTGATCTGAAGAGAGTGAATCACCCAGCTGCCCAGCTTTGAGAAATAAACTTTGAATAACCTGCATGCCCACCATGACAAAGTAGAAATGTTGTAGATATTAGGTGTTTTATCAGATTGTTATAGTTCACAAAGAATATGCCAGCTAACTATGTATGCCAATTTTCTGAGCTCATATAAACATTCCAGTTATTACAGAAACTATATGCAGAACTTCATTCTTTCTAAGAAACACTAGCAATCTGGAGAGGTTATCATGTTCATGAATGGTTCTAGTTAGATGAATAATATTCATAATAGCAATAAAAGAAACTCCTATTTAAATAATCTTTTAAGGTTTGCAAAGTCACCTCACAACAGTTCTAGTCAGTAGTTAGTATAAATAGTGGTTTCCTTGTTTTACAGATTGAGGAAACTGAAGAAGCTCTTGAGAGGTTAAATGACTTTCCTATGATCATTCAACTACTAAGTTCTGAAGCAGGATTTGAATGCAGGGGTCCTGATTCCAAGCAAGTGATTCCATTCACTGTGTCACATTGCCTTCCATTTAAATAAGAATAAGAATAGGAATAAACACACATGTAAATGTGTAGGATTGAACTAAGTCTTCTGAGAAGCCTAGTAAATTTTACTCTGGGGAACATTTTTAAAAATTCAACAAGGAAATGTGACAGAAGGAGTTCAGTGTGTGGGAAAAGCACTCAAAACTATTAGCCTAGAAAAGTTCCTAGCATAGGAAAGATGTTATTCTACATTTTTGTCCACTCTGTATATGTGTGTGTGCAAGAGAAAGGGAATTAGAGGAGGGAGGGAGAGAGACAATGGAAGGGAGAAAGAGGGCAAGAATGAGTGAGATGGAAGGAGGAGGAGAGAAAATGAAAGAGAGAGACAGAGAATCTTATTTTAAATTTAAAGAATCCCTACAGTCTGGGTTGTCAGTTTGTCTGCCAACAGAGTACTAGCACTGACAGGTCTTATCAAAATAGAGTTTCCTTACTAGTTCAAGCCCATTGAAGAACTTGTGATGTCATTGGTCTGAATCAGAAAAACATTTTAGATATTTAAAAGTAAACCATTTGATTTAAAAGTGCAAGTATTAATTTATTAAGGGCAGTTAACCTATTTTAATTATAGCAGTTTAAAAAATGGGAAATGAAAAAATGACTTGTTGAAAGTGTCCAGAATTTCTCCTGTTTAAACAGCCTTTCAATATAATCTGTAAAATTCATTTTTTAGAATCAGAGAGTATATCCAATTTCATCCTTCAGGAGACCCCCTTTTTCAGTCATCCAAGATTGATGGCTTCTTTTCTTACAGAATCTCAGGGATAGACTATATTAGCTCCCTGGGTGGCCCTTTCCAGTGTTTTCTCTCCAGTTTTTAATTTAAATTCGTTTTAACTTGATAAGACAACTACCAGTTAGCATCATCTTAATAAAAACTTTCATGTACTTGGGCAATAATAAATTTACATTCTTCCTAAAACCCTTGGCACATTTAATTATATCCTACATTTTAATACTTACCTATGCACTGTATAGAATTGTTCTTAATTAATGTGTTGGTCATTTTTTTTGCTCAACTGTTGTAGTACATGATTCCTCCTATAATTCTTTAGTGTCCTATCCTTTTTGTGGGAACTGGGCACAATAGAGACACTCAGCAAATTTTTAAAATTGAATTGTATCCTGTAGACTAAACAATCCCCAATTCCATTAACCTTTTTCCAGATGGCCTATTTTATACCTTATAAGTCTATTTTGCCGTTCACTGGAGTTGCACTGTGGGTAGTAGTTGGGGAAGATGGTCAGTTTTCTAAGACCTCCTAAATCAGAGAATGGCTTCATTATTTGATTGTTGTGAATTCCCAGGATTTAAACACAGACACACATTCAACTTGTGAATATTAGGAAATATGTTCCAATACCAAATATACCATAGTTTGGTCTCTATTTTTGCCAGTGCTCCCTTTCATTAGAACAAATAAATGAGTTGACTCTATCTATCATAGAAGATAAATGTGGCTCAAATCAAACACTGAGCTAGAGTGAATAAAGTTTTGATGTGCTGTATCATTCCATAAACTGTTGAAGATTAAGGGGAGATCGAGTAGAAGACAAACAAGTTTATTCACAACTATTAGCTGAGATAATCTGTTTCTTAAAAATGCATTACTAGTTTGAGTGATCTGTTTAAGATTGATGCCAAGTGGATTATACTGAAAAACCTTGCTTTCAGAACAATAAGCAGATTGCCAGAAAGATGGTTAAGATAGAGGAGAAATCTTCAAATACTTAAAATCTATAAATGTTTTAGTTACCTTATGTCACTTGCTGGCCAGGGAGGTTTTATTCCCTTTCTTCTTTTCCAGGCAAGGTAGGTTAAGGTGTGACTTGCAACAGGCAGTTAGGAAGGTAGTGGCTTCCCATCTCAGGAGAGTCAGTAATCCGAATTACTGTTCTGTAGAACTGAGTTTAAGTTCTAATGCCAGTTCTCTGAAGGTCCTCATGGTTTGACTGTATCCAAAAGGATTATATAAAGAAGCGTGCTTTGTATCTTCCTAATGCCTTATAGCTTCCAAACATACTTGATCTCATTCCTTACATGCCAAGGAAGATGAATACCTTCCTAGGTGTTACTTGAGCTATGCTCCATTTGAATCACTTTTCATTGTACAAGACCCACTAATCTCTATAACCCATGGTCTAGTGCTTACCGTGCAGTGTCACTGCATCAAAAAATGTTAACAGCTGGAAAGGACCTTAACAGTTTTCCCTCCCACTCCCTTCCTGGCACAGAATCCTTCCTATGGATTAGGTCCCCAAAGAAGTTTTGGCACCCAGTTCCCCAGTATTGCTGGAAAACAGACTTGCCCCCACCCTTCAAATAAATAAAAAGACACAACAAAAAGAGGAAAAGAAAGAATGGCTCCCAGGAAAACCCTCCAGGGAAAATAAGTGGCTGAAGGAATGAGGAAACAGAAAGAGAAGACTGAAACCATACACACGTTCCCAGGAGAAATAATTGTCCAGTTGTAAGAGCCTCTGGAATAGTTGAGAAAATCAACAAAAGACGAAAAGGAGAATTTGGCACCTACAAACAGAAATGTATATTAAAGAAAAACTACAAGAAAACACATGAGAATCAATAGCTTAGAAAACCAAGTAGAAAATCTCAGTAAATCAGTCGAGTGTCTAAGAAGTAGAATTAGCCCTATAGGAAGAATAACAACAACAACACTAGATGTAGCCAGACAACCAACAGAGCGAAATAAGCGAACAAAAGGATCATATGAAATTGTCAGTCCTGGCCCCTTCCAGTTTTCATTTTGGAAATGATGTGTTCGCATCTGAACACAGAACTTGAGAGACCAAGGCAGAATGTAGACCTTTTTGCCACCATAGCTCTGGATCCTTTTGTCTCTTAAGGAAACCTAGAATGGCATTCTCTTTTTGGCTGCCATGTCACATGCCTAGTTCTGTTCAAGTTCCCTGTTCTTTTTCACAAGAACTGTTGTCCAGTCCTTTAGTTCAGCCCTTGGCCATTCTGTTGCTCCACATAGCTTCTTAAAAGAATTTTGTTGTGGGTTTCCTGGTAGGGTAGTTTTTTAGCTGCATTGGTCCAGATTGCAAGCCACTTAATCTGCTGTGATAAAAGGAGGAGGATCTATTCCTATCTTTCTATCTATTCAGGAAAATATTTAACTCCCGAAAAGGTGATGAATATCTTTTGCACAGTACCTCTCAGATGGGTGGAAGGAAAACAAGAGTTGAGATGGGTTTTTGTGAACTTTTCAAATCTTTCCTTTAAAGTTACTATCCAAAAACAATATAGTAATAGACTTGTGCCCTTAAAGAGCCTGAGGGAGAAAATGCAAACAAAAATCAAATAATAACAGCAAAACTTTAATTTTAGAGGAAGACCAGTGTGGTTAAGTGAAAAGGAATATGTAAAATCACAATATCTTGTAGCTGGAAGATTCAGATGCTAGGTAAAGGTTTATTTGTTTGAACCCTCTAAATTATATATGATCATGACTGTGAGGCCAAGAGAACTTAACTAACTTTTCCAAAATAACATGACTACTTAATGACAGAAAACAGTTCTTTTGATTCTTGGGATAGTTCTTTCTTTTACATTATTCTTTTATTAAAAATTGCTTATTTTTGTAAGAAAGTTGTAAAAGTCCTTGGATTCTTTCTTTTATACTGGAAGAGCAATGTTGGGCGTGTTTTTTGGATCTGAGAAAGCATGTTGTCCACCCCTCTTATTCTAAAGCCAAGAACTCTGATAACTGAGAAAGAGATTATATACAAAGTCTCTAAGAAAAGCCCAGTCAGGATTTGAACCTAGGGCTTATGATTCTAAACCTAAAAGTGTTCTTTCTGTTATGCTAAATTTCATCTGCCTACATTATACAGAAAAAGTAAGGAGCAGAGAAATTGATTTAGACTTCTAGAATATTAGAGTTAGAAAAGTCATTACAGATCGTTTAATCCAGTCACCTAATTTCACAGATAAGGAAACTGAGTCGTGGAAAAAATTATATTATCTGCCCAAAGTCCTCTGCCACTTTGTGGCAGAGGTAATAATGTAGCCTCCATACAATATAAACTCCTTGAGGTCAGAGACTACTTCGTTTTGTCTTTCCCCAGTGCCTAGAATAGGGGCTAGCGTGTACTAAGTGCTTAAATAAATGCTTGCAGATTAATTGGTTTCTGCTACTCCATTTCCAGTTTTAGCTGTATTGTATAATCTTGCATAGTATCTCAAAAGATAGCACTAGAAATAGTAAATGTTATGTCTTCAAATATATTGATTTAAGATGTTTTTCTTCCCATTCAAGATAAACTTTCATTGGAAGGAATAGTGGTACAGCGTGCTGAATGCAGACCTGCTGCCAGTGAAAATTATATGAGATTGAAGAGGTTAGTAATTTTACCTTTGAAATGAATCTATGACGTTTACTTTTTGAGATCTTGGCACATTTTTTTGTTTGTGGCAGGTATGTGAATATGTACATTCGTGTGTTTGTTTACATGTGTTAGAATCCCAGGTACTACTTAACCATGACAACTTTGCGGACAATTATTTGAATTTGTTTTTCCTGAAATCTTTATTTGTTTTTTAAAAAACAAGTGAGAGTTTCTTTGGCACTGCAGAACTGCTGTTCTGCCGGAACATCCGAGGATTACGCTTGTTTGGACACATTTTTTTTCCAAGTGACCCATATGTGTCTTGGTTCACTAGAAGTATTTAATAAGACTTTTGTACCATGTTGTAGATCATCGTTTTTAAGTCTCTTACTGCTTATCTAAAAACCTGTATATTTTAATTTTGTATAATTTAGAATCATAGTTTTTAAAGTGCATGCCAGGTAGTAGAAAGAGTGCTTGAGTTCTACTTCCAGGTCTCTGCCACTGACTGAGTTATGTGTCATTAGGCAAGTCAGGGTTGGTTTGTTTTTTAATTTTTAATTTTTTTTTTTTTTCGCCTAGGCAATTGGGGTTAAGTGACTTGCCCAGGGTCACACAGCTAGTAAGTGTCAAGTGTTTTGGTCTGAGGCCGGATTTGAACTCAGGTACTCCTGACTTCAGGGTTGGTGCTTTATCCACTGCCACCTAGCTGCCCCTAGGCAAGTCATGTTGTTGTGGGTTTTTTAACCCCAGTTACTTTAGCCATAAAATGTGGGAGGTAAACTAGATGATCTTTTGGGTCTCTTTTAGCTCTGAAATTCCATAATTACAAGGGGAGAGTGAGATAATTTTTTTTTTTTCAGTTTCTCTTATTTTCTTTACTGGAAATTATCTTAAATATTCTTTTATAAGAAAGAGAAAAAAACTGGATTTTTGGTAGATAGTAATTTCTCTCTTAAACTCCAAATATAAATAAAAATGCTAGTAAAAACCACAGTAAACATGCATGTAAATAAAAAACAGCTACAGAGCATGTACTTTACTGAAATGAGATTTATTAACTCAGTTTAAAGTTCCTAATCTCTTTCAATTTATTTTTATATTTTATTACTTACCTGTGTATATGTTGTTTCCCCAAATAAAATCAAAGCTTCTTGAGGTCAGAGACTGTTTGCCTTTTTGTTTGTTTGTTTGTTTTTTGGTCCCTACTCCCTACATAGTGTCTGGCACATATAAGGCACTTAGTAAATGCTTTTGGATTTGATAGATTCAAGACTTACCTTTTCCAAGCAGTATTGAAATTGGAACTATACTGGTTGCCTAGGCCAGTTACTAGCATCTTCATTTTATTTGGGGGTTCTCTAAAGATTCATATCTGGCACAGGGTAGGTATTTAATAAAAGCTAATTGGCTGACTAGTAACAGGAAATTCATTGTCTTCTATTCATCCATAGGGCCTTTCCCCATCTCTGGGATGCCTTCTTTTTCATTCAAAAAAATTCAAAATCTTTTGGTCTTCAAAGAACAAAACCAAACCAAACATTATTGAACCTTTCTTAAGTGATACGAAGCTGTAATTGATAGCCAGGTTTCTGTAACTCACAGTAATAAAGGAAATAATTTATATTAAACAGAAAAAGGCCTTTTGAACATTAAGTTGTAAAGATCCTCACACCCAAGAAATTGGCAAAGTGACAAAAGACAGGACTAGCCAATACTGATGATGTCATGGAAACGCAGACATACTAATGAATTGTTAGTGGATCTAGAAATTAGTGGAACCATTCTGGAAGCCAGTGTGAAGTTGCACAAATAAAATGTGGAAAATGTCCGTGACCTTTGGCTCATCTCTAGGGATTTTGCCCCATGGAAGCCATTGAAAAAGAAGAGAGACTCCACCTACACCAGAATAGTTGTGGTAGCACTTTTACAATTATGAGGTATGGCTTTGTGCCAAAGAGCAGAGAGAGAGAGAGAGAACAGTAAATCTAGGTGATATAAAAATAAAACATCAATAAAATTTTCTCTTGAAAAAGTTGTGTTAGATATTGCTAAGGAAGGTTTAGGCTTTTTTTTTTTTTTTTTTTTTTTAAAGACTGGAAACCAACCTCTTTCTTCAGTATTTAAGAGCACCAGGAATGGAATATTTAAAGTTGTTACTTATTTTCCTAGAAAAGTATTAAGGGTTTCGTGAAATTCCCCAAAAAACTGCCTGTTTTTGTGAATGTATTCCTTCTGACTATTCAGGCATGTTTTTTATGCAGTAATTATTAGCACTCTCCAGATAGATGTAGTGACCTGAAGCATTCATTTTGTTTTTCCAGACTACTTTGAGGCAGTCTGGCTATGGAAGATGATTTGAGTGGGAGGGGAATAAAAGAAGTAAGAGACTGTGGGAGATAACCAAATAATAAAAGGAAGTTCTTGGTCCCATTTATAATTCCTGATTTCTAATTATCAATTATGTATCTGGGCTATCAAGTGACTTCTTGGTCTGGTGTTGAGAGAAAGCTGAAGTCCCAAGGTGTTATGATGGTGATACAGCAGTGAGATTCAGTTGCTCTTGCAAATTAACAAAGTTTTTGGCACACTGGAAGTTATTTATTTGCTCATTTTATTTTGAAACATTTTAATTTTTAATGTGAAGTAATTTTCTTTAGAGCATTTTTTATTGTTTGAAATGTGAAGTCCTTTCAAATGGGTCTGCTAAAAATAACAGTCAAATTGTGGGAAATTGTGTATAAGCATGATTCAGAATAAAACAGTTGCAAGTACTTATGTGATTAGATGGCATTAGTGTGCTAACATCTTATACTAGTTTTTTATTATTTATAATATATTATGCCCTCTGGAGTTGTCAGTAGCTTGCGGTCTATCGTGTTGTTCAAAAATACTGCCTTGAACAATCCATTATTCAGTACGTTTGGGGGCAGCAAGGTGTAACATTAAAATTGCTGGATTAAGAGTCAGGCTAGAGTCCAGTGAGCTAAGCTATGTAAAAGCGTCTTTGCAAACTTGAAAACATTTTTATAAATGCCAGAAATTAGAGCCCAACCTGTTTAAACTCTGTAGTGGAAAGCTGGGAGAAACCCAGACAGATTAAACCATGGGCCCTGCTCTCTCAGGCATGTGTCTCTGGCTCTGATTTTATTACTTTGTCGTATTTTATTCATAGGTCTTAGAGCAAGAATACAACTTCTGTAAGTTATCTAGTCCAGTCTGTAGACAGGTCCCTATTTCATCCCTATTTTCTAGATAAGGCAGTTGTTTAAGAAAGATTATTCTTGGAGCTTTATGTGGTATGAGAAAGATTACCTACCACCAGGGAGACCACCCTATAGTAATTTCAGACATAAAATCACAAAGGCATGTATCAATCCCAATAGTAGGTAACTTTTATATAATGCTTTAAAGTTTGTAAAACATTGTATGATTGGTCTGGACTTTTAATTTCAACCATGTGGAAAACTACCTCCATTAATGCCAACTTGACAACTCTTTTGTGTTGTAGAGTGTTTCCTGGGAGGGACACTAAGAGATCGATTGGCTTTCCCAGATCCATCTGACTAGTATCTGTCAGAGGCAGGACCTGAGCTCTGGTTTTCCTTACTCCAAGACTAGCCTGCTGTCCATTATTCAAAGCCTCCTCTCTCTCTTTGTTTTACTGATATGCAGGTTAAGTGATTTGGTCATGATCACACACAGCTAAGAAGTATACATGGTGGGACTCAACCCCAGATTTCTCCTTTCACATCCAGCACTGAATTGCTCATATGTCTCAGTCTCCTCTGTAGACTGGCACAGTAACACAATCCCCAAGCACTTCCTGGAGGAAGAATTATGGCCTAGCCATCAACCAAATACTTGTCTGAGAGTCAAGAAACCTGTCTTTTAGACCAAGTTACACCTGAACTTGATGTAACCTTGGGTTGAAGCATTTAATCCCTCTGGCCTTCAGTTTCCCTATTTTAAAACTAATGTTTTTAGTTCTAAATGCCATATTTTAGGAAGAGCATTAAGTGGCTTGAACATGTCTAGGAGAGGATGATTGTTGTTTGTTGTTTGTCCTTCAGTCTCAAAGCAGACGATGACATCAGGAAGGTGATGTCATGACTTGCAAGTAGATTGAATTTAACTGAGTCAGGGCTATGCAAAGTCACCAGCCTCTCTCGCTCTTCCGGAGCCATCGGAGTCCAGTGGCGAGATGTAGATTGGGACGACTGGAGATGGCCCGTTTGTGGGAGACACAGGCCTTTTTAAGCTAAGGTCTTTCCCACGTCTCAGTTTGTCTGAAGCCCTACCCATTCAGTGATTAAGGGTAGATAAGAATGAGGCAAAAAAAAAAAAAATGGCCTCTTTTACCTAGTCGAAAAAATCAGTCTGGGACAGATGGGTTATGGGACCTGGACCCCTAAGAGGAAGACTTGAATAGAACTAAGCATGTGACATGGCAACCAAAAAGAGAATGCCATTCTAGGCATCCTTAAGAGACAAAAGGATCCAGAGCGATGGCGGCAAAAAGGTCTACGTTCTGCCTTGGTCAGGCCGTCTCTCAGGTTCTGTGTTCAGATGTGAACACGTCATTTTTAAGAAATATGAAAACTGGAGGGGATCAGGAAGAAGGCAAAGTTTTCATATAATAGTTTTGTTTGGTTATTTTGCTCTGTTGTTTGTTTGGCTTCATCTAATGTTGTTGTTGTTGTTGTTGTTGTTATTCTTCCTATAGGGCTAATTCTACTTCTTAGATGCTCCACTGATTTACTGAGGTTTTCCTGCTTGTTTTTCTAAGCTATTGATTCTTACATTTGTTTTCTTGTAGTTTTCCTTAAGTGTATATACCCCATCCAGAGGGGAAGACCTTCAGGATTTCTGGCCAAAACAGAAATAATTGCTATTTACACTCACTCTGAACTATCGGAGGCCAAGTAATGACCGAATGAGGCTTGGGTTGGCACATATTGTTGGCCACTCAATGAGAACCAGTGAGAACTCCTAGTCCCTCAAGTTCACAA